ATAGCAAGCATTATTATTGGGAACCTGAGTTTTAGGAAATCAAGGCACTGCATAGAGACCACTTGTACAGGGTTACACTGTTAGTAAGTAATGGGGCTGAGATTAACTCCATGGGCCCTGGTACTACATGGACTCTACATTGTGTCATGCTGCAGGATTTCTTACTCTCTCAGAAGCATGTTTCTGATACCTGTGATTGTGAAATCATAGGTGTAATTCATCCCCTTTCAGAACTCTTCAGAGTTATCCCATATGCCACTAATTGACTATAATACACAGACAACATTGCATGGTGGTTGAGACCCATGGAATTAAATAGTGAAGCTTCCATCTCCCAGGATTGTTACAGGAATTTAAGTGGTTTACAAGGGGAGGGGCTAACTCCCCATGATGAGTGTTAATCATTCTTGACTGCAAACATGTGCTAATAAAAATAAAAATAAAAATAAAAATAAAAAGGGCACTATGACTGCCATTTGGATTATAGGTGGCCAAAAGTGGGATGGGTGGATGGATGGATGGATGGATGGATAGATAGATAGATAGATAGATAGATAGATAGATAGATAGATAATCATTAAATGGTTTAATTCAAAGAAGTAGGTAGAGCAGTATGTGACACATGAAGTACCCCACAAATGTTAGTTATTATTTGCTATTATCATATATTCACCACCTCCCCATTGAACCTAATCATTCTGTTGTTTCTGTCTTTTCATTGTCCCATATATTGCCAGAGTGGAAGCCCTGTGTCTATGTAGGGAAGTTTCTGTTGGGCTTCTGTCTGCAGGACAGGAGAGGAATTGATAGCTCTTTGAGTGTGCATGTTTTCAGTTTTGCTTGACCAGAGCCGCTGTAGCAGTTTATACTCCCTTGTGTACTGTGTAGCAGTTCCCTTTCCTCTACATCCTAACAGTTGGTATTGTCTGACTTAGATCTGCCAATCTGATGGATATATCATGTTGAAGTGGTAAATTTTTGTACTGGCTTCATTGAGATATACAAAATTCACCCTTTTATAAAGTGTACAATTTCATGTTGATCAGTATATTCTCAAGGTTGTACAACCATCACCACTATCTAATTTTAGAGGAAATCCCTTACCTATTAGCAGTCCCTGTACATTTCCTGTAAACTGCAGCCTATGGCACTGCTAACCTACTTTCCATCTGTACGGATTTAACCTATTCAGGACATGGAAAATAAAAAGAATCATATAATGTATTTTTGTGTGTCACTTTTAAGTGACTTCTTTCACTTAGCATGTTTTTAATGTCATCTGTGTTATAGCATATATCAACATCTTATTTCTGTTTATGCCCCAGTGATAGTTCATTGTATGGATATATCAGTTTTGTTTATCTATTCATCAGTTGATAAGAATTTAAGTTGTTTCTAGATTTGATATTTATGAATAATGCTAGTGTATTTCCATGCAAATTTCATGTAGGTATATATTTTTAATTTTCTTATACGTGTATGTATAAGAAATTACATACATGTATGTACATACTTGGGAGTAGAATTCTACTGGGTCATTTTACTGAGCATTTATTAGCTTTCTCATTGCTGGCACAAAGGACCTGAGATATACAACTTGAAAAAGGAAGGATTTATTTTGGCCCACAGCATCAGAGGTGTCAGTCCTTGGATAGGTATCTCCAGAGGAGAAAGGTTATGGCAGAAGAAAGCTGCTCAACCCCTGTCATCCAGGAAGCAGAAAAAGACAGGGAAGAGCCTCCAGAGGCCATGGAGACCCCCTTCCTCCAACGGGGCTTTACTGCCCAACAGCACTTCCAGCTGTGAACTCAGCAGTGGGCTGATGCCTGGATAGACACAATGCCCTCATGAGTCTGTCACCTTTCTAAGGTCCACCTCTGAGCACAGACTTTTGGGAAACATTTTAGGTTTAAATTATTAACATTCTATTCCTGACACACAAAAGATTCAGGTCCATCTCATTATGCAAAATATATCAAATCCATCTCTAAGAGTCACCAAAACTTTTCCAGTTCCAGCATTGCTCAGAAGTCCAAGTCTTAAGTCTCCTAAGACTTAAAACACACTCAACTATGAGGACCTGTCAAAATCAAAAAGAGAGTTAAAGACTTTCAACATTCCATAGCCTGGAGTAAATATTCACATTCCAAAAGGAAGGAATGGGAGCACAGAAAGGAGTCAAACCAAATTAAGTCCAAAATCTCACAGTGCAAACATTAAATTCCGTAGTCTATTGTGGTGTGTCATGCAAAGTGGGGCTTTTCAGAGGTTGCTAGATCTGGACTGTGTGATGCTGGGATCAAGGGTAGGTGATTACTAAATTAGTTCACTGATTGGTTTGGTATCATTCTGGGTAGGGTTAAGGGTGCTCTACCCTGGGTGTGAGTGCACCTGCCTTAAAGATATGTAGCCTGAATAAGATTTAAGAGACAGAAAGATAGTCCCTATCCCTGTTTGTCCCTTGTTTCTTGCCTGTTACTTGTTGTTGCTGCTGCTGTCTTCTGCTCTGTTATGCCCCTCTACCATTCCACCCTACCATGCAGCCAGCCAATTATAAACTGACACTTGTATAGACTGTTAGTTAAATAAACCTTTCCTCATTTAACTTTGGGCATCAGGTATTTTGTCTCAGCAACGAGAAAAAAGTAAGACAAGGTCTATGTCAAGTATCGAGGCACCAGGTGGTATGATGTGAGCTCCAAAGAGCTTAGGTAGTTCAACCCCTATAACCTTATTGGTTTGTGCCCTACATACCCTCTCTTTTGAACTAGCTCTGCACACTGCCCCTAGCTGTCCTCATCTGAGCTCACAAGTTTGTGTCATTTCCAACTTCCTGGGATATCCATTGTAGCTTTAGCTTCACTTCCATAGCTTCATGCTTTACCCACTCAGGGACTCCTGGAAGGAATTTCAACCCTGTTACACATTTTTGCTTGGCCTCCCTGGCCTTCCTTTGCAATCTGGATGGAAGCTTTCATGATCCCACAACTCTTGCATTCTGTATACCTGTAAAACCAGCACCATGTTTATAGTGTCACAGTCTGTCACTGGATTAAGCAATAGCTAGGCTCTCTTGGATGATGACTGCATTGGTCTCTCGAGTACTTATCTGACTAAACTCAGAGAAATATTTCCCTAAACTTCTCAGAGTGAGCAGGGTACCCTGGGGCTCTTTTTTCAAGGCAAAGTCTCTCCAAAAAAATTACACTTTTACACCATTGAGTCTGTGATGGTTGGGTTTGGGCCATTGCATGGATGCTTTCAAGACATCCTTCTCAAGGTCCCAGGGCAAAGTACTTAGTTTCTTTTTAATGACACTAATCTCTTCAGCGACCAAGACTCTCTTAGCTTCTACTTTACACATGCTCCTTTTCTAGCAGAACTGAAACTTTGTCAAATCATTTGGCTCTACTTTTTGTTCCCAGTGCTTAATGTAAATTTGGCTAAAAGCAGCCAGAAGTAGAATGCCACAGAATAAACATTGGGGCTGCCTTGAAATTTCCTCTGCCAGATTGTTTAGTCCACTACCTTTAAATTCATCCTCAGACAAAGTCTTAATATGAACCAAATATACAAATTCTTTGCCAGAATATAAAACAAATGTCCTCTAATCTACTTCCCAGTAGAGTCCCCATTTGCACCTGGAAACTCATGAGCCTGGCCTTTACTGCCCACATTCCATGTCAGCATTCTAGTCTTCTGAGCTCTGACCAGAATTGCCCATAAAGCTCTTACTGCATTCTAGGGCTTCTTTCATGGACATCTCCAAACCTTTCCAAACTACTTCAGCAAACCAGTTCCAAAGGCTTCTAAATGACATGGTCAGGTATAGTCATAATAATGACCTCATTTTTCTGGTATAAATTTGCTGTATTAGTTGGTTTTCCTGTTGTTAGAACAAAGTATTTGGCGTACATAAAGGAGGAAGAATTCATTTTGGTCCACCGTTTCAGAGGTTTTGGTTCATGTTTGGCTGGCTCCAAGGCATTAACAGCATAATGGAGAAATGTTGCTCAGCTTTTGTCAGCCAGAAAGGAGAAAGACAGGAAAGAACCAGAGCAGAAGATACAACCTCCAAGGGCACACCCCTAATGACTCATCTTCTCCATCTGGGCACACCTCCTAACAGCATTTTCAGCTATGAATTTATCAGTGAATTAATCTACTGTTGAGTATAGCACTTCCATGATCCAGTCACCTTCCAAAAACCCCACTGGTGAAAACATGAGACTTTGGGGGGATATTTTATACCTTGGCCATAACAGATAATTATCCTGTGTTTAATATTTTGAGAAACTGCAGCCCCATCAGGGTTCAAAGGCTCTAATTTCTCCACTTCTTCACTTCCAATGTCTTGTGTACCTCATTTCCCTGATGACTAATGAGGTTCAGTTTCTTTTCATGTACTTCTTGACCAATTGCATGTTTTCATCTTTGAAGAAATGTCTGTTAAAATCTTTTGCCTATTGTGGGAAAAAAGTAATTTGTCTTTTTATTTGAGTCATAAAGATTATGTATTTAGGATACAAGCCCCTTATCAGACAGATAAAATTTTTTCCCATTGTGTAGGTTGTCTTTTCATTTAATTGATGTGAATGAGTGTATTTTAATGTTTGTAGTTTCATGTGTTTGCTACAAACTTCATTTTTAAAAATTGTCTCAGTATAATCTGCTGAGGAGGAAACAAGCCTGAGAGAATTGATATGAATAATGCTATAGGTACATAGGGTACAGGTAGAGACTTATATCCTAGGCCTCTGATTGGCTGCACCAGTCAGGTTTTGTACAAGCGTACACCATGATGGTTGCAGTGACAAAGTCAGCTAATAGTGCATTTCTCGGATGTATCATGATTGTGAAATAATGCACGACTGCTATTTCAAAATACTGCTTGTTCAAAGCATGTGGGTTCCTATCTAACCTGACTTTTCCCTTTTTCTTCTTTTTGCCTCTTTCTTCCTTTACCTCCTCCCCCTGTATGCTCCCTGTTTCTGTTTCAGATTGAAAATGGCTCAAGCATTAGTCAGCAAACTGACATCGGAGAAGAAAGTGGAAACAAAAAAAATCAATCCCACAGCTAGTCTGGTAAGCTGCATTTTTCAACATAGCCTCCAGATTTTTCATTGTAACTGAGGTGCTCCCAGAATGTCTGAGTTTAAAGAATAAAACTCGAGGATGAAACGTAGTGTTCAGACCCTCAGTTCTCCTGTAGAGTAGCATATGGTAAAACAGAAGATGTGAGGGTAAAGGAGCAAAGCATGGCTTCATACATTTCCCTACAAACTCAACAAAGAGTACTTCTTGATAAGCCAAATTTCATCACTTATTTCATGTCCTTCCCTATTCCACTCACACCACAGTTCTCCTTATCTTAAAGTACTACTCTCCTGAAAGGTGCTACATTTACCTTCATCAGTTCTTTTTCTCCAATTTAGAGAAGGGGCAGGATGTCCTATTTTGATGGTTGAGAAAGTCGAGTTGCAGAACAGCATAGCCTGTGTAGTGACACTTGGCAAATGGATACCAAAAACCAGGACCAGAATATGGGTCATCTGACCTCTCGTCCTGCTCAATAAACCAGCAGTCCATTCAGTCATTCTAAATTTGAGAGAAAGTTGTCCTCAAAAGTACAGTTTTCAGTAAGGGTTCTGGTGAATTTCCACCTATATGTTATGGACAATAGAATAGCTAAATGGTTAGGAACTAAGGATATTGGGAAAGAGACTGCCTAGATTCAAATTCCAGCTTTGCCAATTAATAGTCATGTAACCTTGGCAAAGGTACTTCTCTTCTTTCTCTTGAGTGGAAATAAAAGGAAATAATATTAACTTTCATGGAGGATTATTTAGAGGAAACTGGGAAAATACGTATAAAGCACCTTATACATACTGGGAACTCAGTAAGTGTTAACCATTTTTCTTGTTACTGTGAGATCCATCAGCTTTCAGTGAACCTGAGAATGCATGGTATTATCACTCTCTTCACTTTTGTATTTAAGCCCAACCTTTTCTAGTTGTGTCTCATAACATATTTGATCCTTTCATATTACAAGGTTGTTTTTTTCCTTGGAGGGTACTGTTTAATATTATTGTTTGAAGATCCAAGTGAAGTCTAAATAATAAAATGAGATTGTTGTCCACAGTCTCTACTAACAACCTCGTCTGTAGCTAAATGAGAGTTGTGTAATGTTGAACAAGAAATTGAGGTGTTAGTCCCAGAGAGCTGGGTCGGGTCAGGGTCCACTGCCCCAGTCTGTGTGGATATAAGCTCTGTGCCCGTGTGGTGGTGCATTTATTAAACTCATTTACATGATTTTCAGGCCAGTGGTTCCGCTCTGCTTTTTATCTTCCTCCTTTATCAGCCTCTAGCCCTTTCCCTGTATCATTTAGGTGGGGCTTGACCCAGACTTTTATAGCCAAACCTGTTCCTTAGGGACAGAGAGAATGGGGTCACCCAGGTAGACAAAGTGGAAGCCGTGAATTTAATGTGATGCCTTTTATAACTCAACCTACTCTGCCATCAAGCACCCAATTGTAATGCGAGGCTGTGTGAGGATTGTTACACGGTCTGTTTGTGAAGGTTGTGGCAAATAAGGGAAGAGATCATAAACTGATTTCTGATTCCATTTCACAGTCAAGGATGAGTTCAAAGTCGTGATAAGTGTGTAAAAACTCACCAACTTCAGTTTAGGTCCAATCCAACTTAGATATTTATTGTAACACCGCAGCTCCTAGCTCATAACCAACTGAGGGTCTGTTCCCAAAAGGTTTCTCTCTGCTCCTGCTCCTTCTGAATGAGTGCCCTGTTCCTTTTCCCTTTTAGCCTGTATTTGCCCTCCCTGAGCAGCAGGAACCCCAACTCCCAGTAGGCTTAATTTACTTTGCGGAGTTATGGAGGCAGTGAGAGAGTGGCAATCCATGGTTTGGGGTTGGAAACGAGGTTTTGTTTTTGCTTCGTCATGCCTAGACTCCCTAAAATGTCTTTCCTGTGTATTCCCTAGTGCCAACAGCTAGCCAAGGATGGGGTGGGGGGAGCCACTGAGTGACATTACAGAATTACAGTTTTTGTCATGAACGAGGAAGTAAAACAGCCCAGCCTAGCCTAGTGAAGATCAGTGTTCTGGATGGGAAGAGGTGATTGACTGGGTAAGTTGTTCACTTCTTGTTCTTGTTTCAGGGCGGTAAGAGTATTGGGCTAATAGAAGGAGCAGGCAACAGGTTTAGGAGAAAGAAGGATGTATGCTCATTTCTAGGGCACTTGGTATCATTGTACTCAGCCTTCTATTCAGAATTTGAGAAACGTATCAAAATTTGAGAAAGACAAAAAAATGGAAATAACAATAATGTCCTTTTTCTCCCTTAACAGAAAGAAAGACTGTGTCAGAAAGAAGCCAGTATGAACGCAAACTAAGATGGAGACACAAGAAAATGATGGTGGTGCAGGTGGAGAACCTTGCATTCTTCACAACCCCAGTGCTGCAGGAAATGCGGGAAAGATTTCTCATTAAATGTTTGCTTTGCTCAGCTCTTCCTGAGGGTATTGTGTTGGCTACTTTTCTCTCCTTGCTGAGACAAAATACCCAATGCCCAAAATTACAGAAGGAAAGGTTTATTTAGCTCACAGTTTGTGCAGGTTTCAGTCCATAATCAGCTGGCTCCAAGGCAGGGTGGCAGGGCCCAGGGGCAACAGTTCAAGGCAGCAGAAGCAATGAGAGCCTGAAAAGGGGGAGAGCGAGCCTCTTTCCCTCCCTTATATTTCCACCCAGAGCAGGTGTAGCACTCACGCCATGACCCTGCCCTCCTCTTGCACAGGATGAGGATGCTTACAAAGTGGACCCTGGTTCCCTGCATCTAGTTAAATTTCTAAACTTCTCAAATTAACACAATGCATCAACCATTACAGGCATCTACAGGTGCCCTGTGTCTTCCTGTAAGAAGTCCCTTATTAAACCACAGGAGCAATGAAAAGCTGTTTAAAGAAACACTGAGGAATATTTGGTAATTGTTTCTTATAGCAAGTCCAAACTCCACTCCAATGTAAGATAAGAAGAAATACCAGGATTTTTCAAAAAAAAATTTAAGATTTAGATTTCAGGCTTCCTAGTCCAAGTTTGATATATATAACCCTGTTATGGAAAGGAGAAGTTCTTTTATGACAGTTGCCTTGAGAGAATTCAGGCCTTGGTTTTTACATGTTACTATTTTGATTATTGTTCTATAGTATCTCTATGGGCAAAACATTGAAACCTATTGCAGTTGTTCTTTGAGAGACTTAAGGCTGTGTATTTCCTGGACGAGAGCAATGGTTTGATTGTTGTTGTTCATGTAATGAAAAGGAAATAAAATGCAGTTGTGTATAGGTGGATAGTTTATAAATAACTATTAACTTCATCGTGGAAAATAAGCTAAGATATTAAGAGTTACCATCAGCCACTGAGAGAGGTCTATTCTTTTGTTTTTCTGTCAGTTCCTTGTAGCTTCCTGGGGCTGCAGAAACTCTACCTCCACCCAAAACAAAAGCAGTAATAACTGAGAAGGGACAGCCTTGGGGCCAGACCACCTGCTTGGACAGGTAACTCTTTGCCAGAGCACCTTTCATGGTTCAGATCCCTTGTGAATGGGAAGTGGCATGTTGGCATGCAGCTCAGTTCTATATCACGTTGTGAGACTTGAGGTTGGATCTCTCCCACTGCCCTCCAGAAGCAGTTTCCAAACTCACTGATGGCTGCCTTTCTTCATGACCTTGGCAGACAGGTATGCGGAGTAGGTGAGACAGAGGTATTTGCTGTCAAAAAGTTTCATGGTAGGTGAAAGAAGTTCTTTACAGCAAAGTAAACAGCAGTGCTTCCATTAATATTAAACTTTGAATGGAGTATCAGGCACAGGTTTCTTTTTCTAACCCTGGCTCTTGAGTCATAGAGGAAAATCACCTTCAACTTTTCCCTGACATTTTTCCTATGAAACCAACATTCCCTGAATCTGTCTTATGAGGGAAAAAAGTTAGAGGACAGGAGAGGAACTAAGACTATGATCAAAGACTGTCATTTGTAGGTCTTGATGAGAGAAGCCCAAGGTTCTCCTCCAGGTGGTGGCGGACAGTCCAGAGATGAGTAAGAATCTTACATCTTTCCTGATCCAGCCACCCTGTGTCGCCTGGTCCTTGCTCAGCACATTCCCAGTGGCTCTGAACTAGCCAGGTATATGTGTGTCTTCCCAGGATATGCCTGCCAGGCATCAGCCCCCTCGGGGACACTCCTATAATAAATTCAGCTAATGAAAGTGGAGCAATATTCTAACACAATGCAAATCTCACAAATCAAGCATGAACCCTTACAACCAAATCAAGGCACCGATGCCATATGTATGCAAGGGTTGAATGCCTTTCCTATGTTTCCAAAGGAAGAAATGAAGTCAGGTAGTGCTTTACTTGTTTGTTTGTTTTGTTTGTTTGAATTCAAAATGAAAGAGACCAATAATAGACAAAGAGAACAGGAACTTACGTGACTAGAAAGGCTTGAAGTTGCTTTTGAGCAAGACACTTTTCCTACAGCTTTCTTACATACTTTTTCCTCATTCACACTTAACTGATGAACACTGAGGGAATTCAACTTTAGGGAAATTCCACTTACAGCCATCCTGGGCTTCATGATGGTCCTTCAAGCATGTTGCAAAAGAAAAAAATCTGTGTAGTCAGCACAGTAAACTCCTGTAGGTCCTTATGAGACTGCCGAAGAGTGGCAGGGGTGGGGTACTGAGTGGACTCACTGCTGTCCACATCAGGCCTCTAAGTAGGACTTTCCTGAGATGTCGTGGAAGGTGCCAGTGTCGCTCTGCCCTTGCAGACCCTCTCAAGGACCCAGTGCTGAAGCATAACCAGTAGAAACATTAATTCTAGAGTTTGACAAATACAGCCCACTTTGTATTTCATCCTAGTGAACAGACTAAAAGTGTACAGTGAAATATCCTTTTCTAAAGGACAGAGTTGTCTGCTCTGCTGGGGAGGCTTAGTGGCTTTGTCTCACTACTTGAATGTCTTACATGAGTGTATTAAGAAACCTTAGCAGAATCTCCATCTCTGTCTCCCAGTATGAACTATATCATGGATCTAGGACGCCCCTCTCCCAAATCCACCGCTGTGAACACAGCCTTCATTTCTGACTTAAATTCATGCTACATAAAGATTAACAACAGTTTGTTCCAGGCAGTCTCTCTAAAACAACCTGGAGTGAGTTCAAGGCCAACTTGAACTGCATAGTGAAACCATGTCTCCAAAACGTAAAAGGAAGAAGTATGCTCAAGCAGAAGTGGGTCAGAGGTTATGGAGGGCCTGGAAGGCCGTAGTTACATTTTACAGATTAGCTATTTTGCCCATAGAGACCTGACCACTGAATGAGTAGACGGGCTAAAGAAGGGAGCTTTCAGTCATGTCAGGTACTTTGTCCTCATAGAGAAATCTGCAACACAGTTGAAACAAATCCATGTGGCCAAGTTCACAGAATTTGAAAAGAATAGATACTTTTCAGCCTTTCCCAAATGCAGATAACTTGATGGATATGTTTGTAGCTATAGAGAGAAAGAATTGAGGTGCCTTGAAAATATTATGGTAGGAAAAGCACCTTGAGAAACGTGGCTCAGCACGTCTTTCTCCTTTTGACTGACATAACAGTATCCCTAACCCCAGTCGCTGTTGAATCCACCAATACTCAGGCTGAGTACACAGCTTTATGTGACTGAGAGGCCCATTTTGTTTCATTTCCCTTCCGAAGGAGTGGACAATCTACCAAACTCTCCCAGATCAATGCTTTGCTTAAGGGTAGTGAGTTTAAGAGAGTTTTATTATGTTACACTTGAAGCCAATTCACAAATTCCCCAAGACTTATTCCAAGACTCTTAACCAATAACATAATATAAACTTTGTATTTGGGGAATTTGTGTGGTTCACAACTTAGAAATATGAGGATATTACAAGGACGGCCTGCTTACTCTGTCTTTTAAGACACCCTGAGGTTTCTGTCAGCAGAGACCTCAGGAAAGCAAGTCAAGTCTCACACAGTAGGTCTGCTGTCCACAGGTGGGACTGACTGGATCGCATATTCTATCAGTTATGTGATCTACAGAAGAATAACTTAATCTCAATTTTTATATGAAAGTGGTAGATGAAGTCATCAATTCTACATTCTATCAATGCTCATATAATGTTCTATTTTTTAAATCTCTTTAATATAGAGAGAATCCAAAGACTAATAATCCAACTACTTCTATAGGCATTTCTTTTTAATGAAACTGGATAGCACTGGGGTAGCAAAATGAATGAGCCCATAAAATTGGGCTGAAATTAAAATCCAAAGAATTTGGTATAGATTAGATAGCCTCTGTCACATTTGTGCAGTCACATATGGTGAAAAATTCTCTAAATTCTACCAGTGAAGACACAGGGTTAGCAGGTCTCTACCTTTGAAACTGTGAGAATGTCTTGGAAGAAGATGAAAATTTCTCCCCATAGATAGCATGAGTTTTTGATCCATTATTTTACACTTAGCATCTCAAGGATGAAATCAAACGTTTTCTCTGTGCCTTAGCAGTAGTTTGTCAACACATGGTCAACTTGCTTTCCTTCATTGTTTGCTTCCATAGCTCTCCTCCATTTTCATCTTATAAACCAAGAGTATTTTTGATTATTCAGCCAGGTTACCTCTCCATGTCCATCTTTCCAAAAGGAAAGGAGAGTCCTGTAGATCTCTGAGTGCACAGGTATGTGAGACACACTCAGCCGCCCCAGAGGCATGGAGAAGAGATGTTCCTGAACTAAGGATGCTCCTGAAACTCTTGGGGTAGATTTTGAATTCTGGTTCCTTTCCATGAGATCTATAAAAAGGAGTATATAGCATACAAAAAATTGTACTGCTCTTCTCAGTGAGGAACTAGAAAGATATTCAAAATCTGTGCATACTAGATATAATTCTGTGGACTATAAATAGGTCTTTTTTCTTTGTTGCCAGCTTGTCTGTGGATATGATCTTATTTCTTCATCTATCTGACCACCAAGGCATAAAAAAGACAAGTTCAGTTCCACTGATATATACCCCTAAAAAGGTATATATCCTAAAAAGATAGAAATTTTAAAATTAGAGATTAGATTATTTTTAAAGGATCTTTAGAGATAGAACACCACTGATTCATCTGCGTCTTTTCCTTCCATTGAACTGTAATCTAGACTATGTGGGAAGCACAGTTTCCTTGAACATTGATTTAGGGGATCATGCCTTGGCCTGGAAAATAAGTGTTGTCTTGCATGCCTAGAAGCCAAGTGAAATCAGTCAGCATCCTAACATGTATCAGATGTGCCAGAAATGTACATGTTTTTGAGTTCTGAGGAGTCTGATTTTCTTAGGGACACCCTGGCCCTTGGATCCTGCTTTCTAAACCACATTTATTCTACCCAGTTGTCTTCATCCAGTCTTGTGAGATTTCAGGCAAGGGGAGAAGGGAGTAAGGAGAAGACAGAGGAGAAGAAAATTTGAACAAGGCCAGTACA